CTTAGGACCCTACTATACTCATATGGGTGGTTGTCAAGATTATGGTCCTTTTTTGGGTACCCTAAATATTCGGCGCCGTATTATAATAGGGATCTGATAACCACCCATATAATATCTATAATGTCCTTCTGGGTTGGTTGGTGTAACTAAAGCCCCCTCATGATCTACGTACCATAACCCTTACATAATCTCAAATTTGGTTTAATGTTCCATTGTCATTTCTATTCGATGCTCCATTATTGGGGGAATATCCCAAAACCCTTAACCCTAAACCCTGAATCCCTAATACCCTAAATCCCTGACCCCTAAATCACTAAAACCCTAAATCCCAAAAAAAAAATGCGCCGACAAGCTGCAGTCAGCTTGGCGTCCGCTTTTTCTGGCGAGGTATCCGTGTTGAGGAAGTCCTCTAAGGTCTCCTTGTCTGCTTCAGGGGTTTAGGGGTTGAGGTTCCTAGGGTTTAGGGGTTTAGGGTTCAGGGTTTTAGGATCGGGGTTTAGGATTTAGGGGTTTAGGGTTTAGGGTTCTAGGCTCTAAGGTTAAGGATTTAGGGGTTTAGGGTATTTAGGGTTTAGGACTTAAGGGTTTGGGATTTAGGCTTCTAGGGTTTTAGGGTTTAGGGGTTTAGGGGTTTAGGGTTTAGGATTTAGGGGTTTAGGGATGGGCGGTTCCAGGGTCTAGGATCTAGGGTTTGGGGATGAGGGTTTCTTAGGGTTTAGGATTCTGGGTTTGGGGAGGGGGCGTTGGGTAGGAGGGCTTAGGATTTAGAGCTTTGGGTCTAGGTATTTTTGCAAACGCCGTGCGCGCGTGCTGCTTGCGCGCGTGCTGCTTGCGCGCATGCTGCTTGCGCGCACTGGCGCATGCCCAGGGGAAGATCTCAGAGCTCTTGACATGGATGCATACCTGTTGTAGCACCTAAGAAACCTCGGCCCGGATGTTGGTCCCATTCTCTGCTAAAGAAGCGCTGGGTAGCAACCTCAATCCAACATGGTATTTTTACCACCCCTCCTTCTACAAGTGGTTTGAATCCTGTCTTTGTAACCTGTATTAAATACCACGTTCTTAACGGGGTCGTGGTTCTTGGCTAGGATTTTTTTATGGGGTAGTATGTGGCCTATCTTACGTACCTTTTTTCTCAATGCGTCTAGGGTTTAGGGTTCAGGCCTCCATGTCAGGTCCCAGTTTTGTGGATCAAATTGGTGTTGGGTTTAGGGCCTCCGCGTGTATGAAGTCCAAACTAAGAGCTGCCCCTTACCGGGGTGACCTGATTGCCTCAAAACGCAGGCTTATATACTGCACGTAGCGGCCAATTCAATCAGAATGGGGTGCTAGAGTTGTTCTATGCTTTGAAAAGGGGAGAATATTGGGAATGCATTATTCAGACTTCTACAAAGTGTGCGATATACTCCCTCCTAGGCTCCTGGTGTATATTTACCGGTCTGATGGTCCCCTAAAACCTACAGCCCAACCTTAAATCCTATTTGGTGACTTTTTTGGGTTTAGATGCTTAGGGTCTGGGCTTGAGGACTCAGAGTTTGGAGGATCTTAAGGCTCCAAACCCTAAACTCTACCCTAGATCCCTGAAACTCCCTCAACCCTAAACTTTAAACCCTAAACTCTGAACCCTAAACCTAAATGTAAATCTTGGGTGTTGATAATTAGCCAAAGAATATAAGTAGAATTTAGCGTTTAGAGTTTAAGGTTTAGAGTTTAGGGTTTAGGGTTTAGGCGCCATTTCAAGGGCTCATATAAGGAGAACTACAACGATTTAGAGTCTATGTTACGATTTTAAAGGCTGATATAAAGACAAGTAGAAGGATCCACTCCCCACCCCCCTTAAGGACCAGTAGGTTCATGGAACTCCTGCTTGGAGGTACCCTAAACCCTAAACTCCTGCTTGGAGGTAGTACCCCGAGCACGCCTACAAATGACCACTTACATATAACATGCAGGACCCATCCCTAGCCTCCAGGCATAGGGCTTACGGTTTTCAGGTTGTAGGGTTAAAGGTTTAAGGCTCAAGGTTTTAGGACTTAGGGTTTTAAGGTTAAAGGTTTAAGCTTTAAGGGTTTATGGTTTAGGGTTCCTAAGGTTGACGGTTTAAGGTTCAGGGTCTAGGCTACCCCCTGGAAGCATCCTATGAGCAATGCCTGTTAACCAGGGATGGCTAGGCTGGCTCAACTCGTGACAAAAACCTAAACAATCCAGCGCTAGGCCCTATAGCCTAGCCCACAGTAGCCTAGGAAGAAAAAAAGGATCCTTTTTACTTTAAGTATAAGGAATCCCATACCCCAAAAAGTATAAAGGATCCCCAACATTGATCCAATATAGCCTAGCCCGGAAACCCTAACATCCTACATGCCAAACTCTTGAACCTGGACCGGGACCCTTACCTGGAGGTTATATAGGCATTTAGAGCGGTTTATATGGGTTATATAGGGTTCTATAGGAACTTAAGAACCTTAGAGCTGCAACCATGACCTAATCTGAGAATCTCAAGCTGTACACGCCTCTTATATGGGGGTTCCGAAACATTAGGGGTAGCTTTTGGGGTTCCCCTAAGAAGGATAATAATATGTTAGAGTCCATTTTGGGGTACCCCTATTTTGGGAAACTACCATATCCAGAACCCCTAAACCCTAAACCCTAAACCCTAAACCCTAAACCAAACCCTAAACATTGACTTACATGATCCGTCCCAGCCGCAACAATCGCAGGAGATTCCTCTTGCTCAGAGAGCTCCTGCGCTCGATTCGGACTTTGACAGGCTTTGTGGTATAGAAACCCAGACCCCTGAGCGGATCTAGAAAGTAGATCCCCCTTAAGGGTTCCTAGGAATTACCCAATAGTAGTGTAGGGTACCATAATAGGGGTTCTACTTTCTAGATCCTCCCAGGGGTCTGGAAAGGCATGTCTCGGTACAATTATTGGAGAGCTTAGCTGTGCACAGCGGATTGGAGAGGACGTGTCTTGAACGGCGGCTTAGGGTCTAGGGTTTAGCATTTAGGGTTTAGGATTTGGGGTTTACGGTTTAGGGTCTAGGATTTCAGACTCTAGGATTTAGAGTTTAGGATTTTTCCTATGGCTCTTTTACGGTTTAGGGTTTAAGTTTTAAGGTTTTGGGTTGAACCCTTTAGCAGCGACTGAACCCTCACACCCTAAACCCACTGTTTGGTAAGATTGGTTTAGGGTTTGGGGTTTGGTAACCCCAGCGCCCAAAATTTGGACCCTGGTATGATCATATTTCAGCTGCAGGGAACTAATTTCGAGCTTGCCAAAAAAAATCCTCCAGTCACTGTTCAAATGAGCTACACTCCTGAAGGGGGGTTTATATAGAGGATGGTGTAGTGGAGCATTCTACAGGTTACTAAGGAGGATACTAGGAGTTTTGACTATAGTAGTTTCCATGTTAGTCTCCGTTATCCCTTCATAACCCCAGCATACTATAGCTCCAACCCTGCCAGCACATCATTGAACTGAGGCTCCTCTGCCTGCTCGTCGCTGAGGGAGACGATGCCATCTGCACTGATCTGACCAGGAAACATTATTGGGAATATATAGGGATAATGGAGAAGAAAATGGAAACTATTTAGGGTTTAGGGATAGAATATGGGATATATGGGGATCTTATGATAATAGTCTAGGGCTTAAGGTGCTCTGGGGTTGGGAGCTTCGGGCTACGCAGTTAGGGTTTTAGGGTTTCAGGGTTTCAGCGTTTAGGGTTCCAGGGTTTAGGGTTTAAGGCTGAGGGCTTCAGGTTGAGGACTTAGGGTGGCTTAGTTGGGGGTCTAGGCGGCGGATGAAGGACAATTTGCACCACCCCATAAATTTCCAAAAGCAAGAAGCCAGACAGTGATCTTGGTATGCCATGTGCTGAAAGCTTTCCCACACTTCAAACCCTAGACCCCAAACCCTAGATCCTAAACCCTAGATCCTAAATCCTAATTCCCTCCATCACTTGGCACACAGCTGCCGGACAGCGCACTGTTTTTCCACATCACTTGGCTGCATCAATCGAGTGCATGAGAAATGAGAACGGAAAGGACAAAAGCCATGCCGATGTCAACCTGCATGAGCAAAGCCATGCCGATGTCAACCTGCATGAGCTGGGCCTTGCGGATGAGGATTTACCCCAACCCACCCTGGTTGGCCACGCAGAAGATTCAGCGCCAACAAGAGCACTGTGAGCACATCTAAGGGGCGGGTGGGCTGGGCAGTCTCGGGTGAAGGCGGAGGCGCCGACAAAGGAGTAGCCGAGGCATCCCATCTTTCAGGAGGCACTGGTGAAGAGAACATCGAGCCATAGCCAAGCGGCGATGTCGGTGTGTGCAGGTAGGAGCTCATCCAAGCCACCATGGAGTCTTCGACTTCATGCACTGTCAAGGCAAGCTGACTGAGGAGCTCTCTACCAAAGTAGACGACCAACGCGACCACGCCCTTGATGAAGTACCGGCAGGCCAGAACTATGATGAGTGCAACAGCTCGGGGAAAGCACAGGATCAAGAAGCAGGCCAACCAAGTCCGCCACCTCAGGGCTCGCAGGCGGCCAAAAAGGACCGCTAGCGAAGGCCCCCCTTGTTCAGGCTGCACATCCTGGAGGGGGCGAGCATGCACAGGAGTCAAGCGAGCACTCGAGTCCCCCCGGGGGCCGGTCATCCATCCTTGCAGTGAAGTGGTGAGTCGGGCAAGAGCAGCAGTGATTTGACGAGGGCCGCTCCCACTGCGCCACCGTGTCGCAGCCTGTCTTGCCGAAGGCTCACGCAAAACCTCCGTAGCACTAAGGTCTCCGTCCACCGGAGTGCTCCCCAAGCTATGCGCAGCCTGTTCCACGGCCTGCAGGAGTGAAGCTGCAGCCACACTCTCTGGAGCCCGCTCGTCACGTTTGGTGACTGTCGCTGCACGGGAACCTCCGACTAGGAGCCGCCCGACTCACCCGCAGCACTGGACGCTTAGGATTTGGGCTCTCATTCACAATCGGCGCGTCCATCAGGACGGAGGACTCACTCAGCCACAAGGCTCTTCAAAGCAAAAGGCGGCGGTGCACGCAAGTAATGAGCATGCTGATGCACCATAGCAAGCTGGTTGCGAGCAAGCGCTGAAGCAGAGGCCAGGACCTGTGTAGACAAAGCTTCCTGGAGGTAAGACTTGACTGTCTCTTGCCTAGCCCACCTCCCGTGGTATTGTAGCTTGGTGATATTCTCAGTGACACGGAACATGTGTGTGGCACCTCCTCCACGTAGAGAGCCCAATGTGAAATTTTTGGTGTGCATATCGAGCTCTTCCAAAGCACGACCCACCAGCTTTGCCCATTCACGACGAGGAACTCTCATAAACAGCCTATGCGGTTCACGACCAGTCACCCACCATGACAGCCATGCGATCAAGGCCGAATCTTTGATGAGGACAAATTGTGTACGCCACACCCGACGAGTTTTAGGTTTGCGTATCGCAAGCACCAAACCAACCGCTGCCTCTTCAGCCCAGCCAAGCTCAGGGAAGGTGAGGTCCCCCACCAGGAGGTTACAAGTTTCTCCAGGCCGTAGCAGCCCCTCGAAAGCCAGCCAACATCCCATCATCGCAGACCACCACCTCAAACGGGACGTACCAGTTTCACGGAATCCCCGAGCCAAGCACACCAGCAGAACCGCCTGAGTAATGTACTTCGACATTGGTACGCGGGAGCGAACAGGCATGAGGGACTGCCACGCACGGAGACTCGACCACGTCCCCCTCAGTAACGGCCCTGACAGTTGAAGTAGTCGCTGGAGCCCTAGGATACCTAACCGCACTTTGTAAAGACGTTCCCCTTCTTGATAGCAGTGCTCCACCACCCTT